GCTGCAAGACTCTCAAGATATCCTTGTTAATCCAGAAAGGGGAGAAGGAGGTGCATTTCTCTTTTCAGTCTTGCACTGTGCAGTCTGGCACTAAGTGCGACCACTGGCTTAATTCCAGGAGGTAAAAGCAGTGGGTTAGCAGGAGTTCATCCCTGCCCCCTCTCTTCTCCTCCACCATGTTCAGGTGAGACAGACCTTCTGGGTCAACAGAGAGGGCTTTCACAGCCCTGAAACTGGAAACTCCTGTTTGCAATAATCCCAGTGACAAAGTGCAGAAAGAAGGGTTAAGCCATGGGTCTTTGTATGTCCACGCCCCGTGCTATTAGCTTTACAAGTGCATGTTGCTCACAGGGGCTGCCACCCCGCAGAAGGGAGACCACCACTGCTGGGCTGTGGGGGCTGGTGGCAGGGGACATGGGCTGTGCAGAGAGGAGCAGGTTGGAGGAGGGCATATGCCCAGGTCCTGCGGGGCAGAGACTCTCTACCAGTGCCCCAATAGATCGGCTGATGCCTTTCTGATCTGAGTGGTACTTGATGGAGACCCAGCACTCTGTTTTCAGGAGCGGGATGGGGCCAGGGTGGGTGAACTCCCCACTTCACTTGGAGAATGAGGAGCATGGTGGGGAGGGGATGGCAAGTGGGAGGATGCGCCTGCTCAGGGGAGGCAGTGGGAAATGTTAGTGAATGTGGTGAAGTGGTTGAGCTAGCTGCCCATGACTGAGGGCTCCTCTCGAGAATCAGAAGGAATTTTCCTCGCTTTTTTTATTTTTTATTTTTCATTGCTTCAGTGTTAGGAGCGGGAGAAAAGGTCTTGCCTAATGAGCGAGTCAGTGTGTGTTGGCTGTGTTGGATTACGGGTTATTTTTAGATACTGGAAGCTCTCCTTGAGAGTCACAGGCCCCAATTGCTGGGTGGATTGGTTTTCAAGTGGGGTGGGATCAGTGCAGCAGTCTTAAAGGCCACCCACAGATAATGAACTGCTGGCCATGGAGGGAAGAGGAGCCAAGTGAGATCACCTGCCCTGGCTGCTTGTCCCTTCTGGTGGTGGGCCTGGCCAGGGCAGGTTTCTAGAAGAAACGTGCTCCAAGACAGGGAGCCAGCAGATCCCGATTCCTCTGGAGCTCTGCTGTCTTGTGCAGTGGAAGATCTGCCTGGTGCACCTCAAACAAGCAGCGACTGCCTTTTGCAGCCTTTAGAAACAGCCCATGGACCTCAGCACTGTTCCAGTTACAGGAAGCGTTGGCTGATTGTTATTAGGATTATGGAATAATTCAGGCTGAGAGGAACCTCAGAAGGTCATCTAGTCCAAGGTCCTGGTGGGGCAGGCCAGAACAGCAGCCAGGGCTGCCCACAGCCTGTGCCCTCAGCTTGTAAGAGATATGTCTGGTAGGAGCAGCCAGGTATGCTGGACATAAAATTTTATTTCCAGACTTGGAAAAGGCATTTCCTAGGTCTTGGCCAAATGTTAAACCTGTTTGCAAATTTACATTTTCCCATTGCACTCACTTAGAGTGATACAGATTTACATCACAGTGTATTTCTCCATGCGATTTCTCTTAAACACCTATGGATTTCCAGTGCTGGGCATCTCTGAGGCTGAGACAGCAATCACACCCACTCCCTTTTCACCACCCCTGTACAAGAACTCGTTAGGTCAACTTGGGATGGGTTGGTTTACGCGTGCATTTAAGGAAAAAAAAAAAGAAAGATAAAAAAGCCTGGTTCAGAAGATAAACTTCTGCTAGAAAGTATAATGGGATATAAAAACCTTCTGCCTTTCATTGCAGCATGTCTGTAAGTACAAAAATACGTATAAATACATGGATGAGACAGTGGTTAAATGGACGCATTTGCTGCAAGAAGAACTGAATGAACCTCAAATCATGAGCGATCCAGATACTGGTGTTCCAGCTTCGTCTGTCCTGTTTACCCACCACTTCGTTCCTCTCTGGGGCTCTGCTTTGTCTGTGGGGACAACTACCATATTGCAAGTAAACACTGCTGCGCCCTCTGCTCCCCTTTCTTGCCTGTCTGTGCTTTACCCATGGGAAAACAGGGAAGAGTCAGCTTTGAACGACACAATGAGTAAACAAATTCTGTTTTAAAGAAAAATTGTGCTGAGCAGGAGCAGCCTGTTCCTAAAAGCTTTGAAAACTGGCATTGCGCTCCTGCTAGGAAGGCACTGAAGTACAAAGGTTTCTGTCCCTTGCAGTGACTACCCCCTTGTGCACCCAGGCATTATGGCTTTTGGTCAGGGGCCATGTGCATGAAAGCCCGTGGACTAACATGCCTTTTTTCCTCTGGACAAGACCTCATTGTTGGCCAGCAGTCCAACACAACGCTTTGCAGCTGGAGGAAGCTCATTAAATCTAGTCCCATTAAATCTGTAAGGGCTGCAGACAATACAACAACTAGAAAGCTGCTCTGGTCTGCCTCATGCTACCATCAGGCACAGCAACAGGGAACGGAAATGTATATAGCTGCTTCCCTGCCTGCGAGCAGACACAGAGGGGGTCACACAGAGCTGCTGTAGCTGGATGCAGTTGTAGATTGGGGTTAGAAACGAAGGAAGGAAGGTGGAGGAGCCCATTGGAGGGTGGTGGGTCTGCTCTGTCAGGATGCTTGCAAACTCAGCAAAGGCATCTCCTGAAGAGTGGCCAGCCCTGGGGCAAGCCCACCTCAGAAAGCTCTGCCTGAGCCCATCCCAATCCTGGAAAGCCTTTCACAAACAGGGGAGGGGCACAGGCTGACCAAGCTGAGGGCTGGAGCTCCACCTAGCCTCGTTGTCTGGTTTCCAGATCTGGTCCCTTTGACTCAAGGAGGGCCAAACAGACATTGAGTCAGGTTTCCAGACCAGCAGCCAATTCATTCTAGGGGACGTTTCTTGGCCCCAGGTCTGCCTCATCTAATGGCACAGGGACTGCAGGCAGGGGAAGGTGGCAGTGCTAGCCAGCACCGCTGGCTTCTGAAAATCCCATCGATTCCATTCCCCTTTTGATCTTCCACCAGGCAAGGTGAACGGGTTTGATGTGCAGATCGTGCCTCTCTCCTCCGGACTGCTCCAGCCCCCAGTAACGGCTGCAGGAAGCCGTGTTTGCAGCCAGAGGCTGGGGGCC